TCGAAATTTTTATTTCCTGTTCGCGAAAGCGCGATAGCGCCAAAGCCATGTTGACGATGCGGTGTTCGCTGCTTTGGCGCATGCAAAGCTTGAGATAGTCAAAAAATGAGGAGGAAGCGCTGCATCACCGCGCATTCAGGCATCTCCATTGGCCGTGTCGGGCTTTGCGAATCCAGCGACTCGCTAGCGAAGCGTTCGATTGGCAAACTCTGATGTCGGCCATTGCGAAATCGGTGTATCAAGTTGTGGTGCGATGTACTGTAATTAGTCACTCCTGTAGTGTTTCCCAATCGTGTAAATCTAGACATTGCATTTTGCATCGTTGATTTTTTTCAGGTATCAAACGAAACGTCAACCGATTCTAGATGTGATTGCATTGAAGAAGAGTAGAAGTGCGAACTAACCTATTGTCACCTAACAATTCAATCATCTCGTGTGATCTGAAGGCGTGAAGTCGGGGCTGAGTGCGTCAGAGAATGTGATAGCGAGTGTGATTCCGACACTCGAATGATTTTACGCTGAATATAATTTGTATCAGGGATTAAGCCCATTCATATCGCCTTCGGTTGACACGGATCGTTAAATGCTCCGTATAGATAGCGCTTCATTACTGATTCAGCGACTAATGATTGTGTGCATATTCTGATAGTTTGCCGTATAAATTGATTAAATCAGCATTTTTTGTTCACTGCACTGTGAAACACGTTATCGAAAGTCAACTTCACCTAAAGATTGTGGTTACGATGGCTGAAAAGTGGTGCGTGGAAGGGCGTTAAGAGGCGGTACCAGCTCAACCATGAGCGCGATGAAGAGTGTAGTCCACCATTGACGTTCAGTGTCATCATCAAAACCGCACCGCTCCTGAACCATTGTGATCACTGCCTCTGAATAAGTTTTGGTCTTTGTTTGTTAATTGCTGTTTTTGGCCGCAGTTCGCCTTGCGAATGTTTCACAAGAATGCTGGGTTGTGAACAAAACTTTCGCCCCAGGCGGGACTCGAACCCGCACCTCTCGCTTTCCGGGCAAGTGCGCTACCAGTTACGCTACCGGGGCACCATTTCATCCCAACTCAGCTTTTCGTCAAACTCAAATTTTCGTCTGTTTGGCTGTATGCCGCAAAGTTCGGTATTACTTGGAAAGTAATCTGAACAGAGTCTCACGCTTGGGACGGGTGAGGCATGGACCAAAATATCTCACAGCAGCTAAGCGGTGCTTTAACCACGGTTGGTGTGGCATGCATCAAAGGGGTCGGTACTCAAGTCAAAAGTTCCTGACTGGGTTCTCAAATAGCAGGGAGAATGCGAAAGTGGGTGAGGATTTGCACCGGGTTGCTGTGCTAAATAATATAGATCAGTTAACAGCTCCGTTATGAGACGGTCTAGTGAGCAGGAAAGAGCTGGTGGAAGTTCCATGTCTAGTGTACTAAATAGCCCACCTGAAATGAGCCGCGGTAGCTCACATTGAGAGGAGTGTGCCCTTGGGTGGGGCAGGGGCCACGAAACCTCGAGTTTGGCTCACGGCCCAGAGACGAAAAAATGTCGGCAAAGTAACCAAGGAGATAATATACATAGGAGGGTTCCGAGGTGGGCGTTGGTTTAAGAAGAGTTCCGTGTGCTCCATTCTACATTTCCAGAGTCTGGTGTGTCGCTTTAGCGTGCGACGCTGAACTAGGGGGAAGGAAGCCTATGTGTGCAACACGTTGCCACTCATGGATTGGGTCAATATTCGTCAATTTGAGGCTTCTGACTTATAGTCTGCTCTGATCGTGAACGTGGCGGTATTAATGGTTTAGAGTCTTTTTTGCCAAACGTGCTAACGCATTGACGAGAAAAATTTCTTCTCTTGCTGCAACAGTTAACAAAGGAATTTTTGCCTTGGTTGTTTTATTCAAAACGCAAAATTGGCGTCTAGAGGCTAAATGGCTAGAGGCTCAGACGGCGAGAGACCGGGCGTGCTGCTGCAATAGCGACGCTCGCCGGAGCCCTACATATCCTTTGCTGCGAAGTGCGTGTCGGTCCGCACCCTTAGGAAGTCCACCTAATTTTCCACTAGGCAGGTAGGTTCCCCTCTTTCGACCTCCAACGTCATTGTGAAACCATCCTTGGCACGCGGGGCACATATAGTCCCGCCGTCCCACGTGGTTGCAAGG